TTATATGTCTTTACATCCAGGCCATGATCACTGGGTGCATTGGTTGTTGTGCAAGTGGTCACCGTGCCCACCGCGACATGTGTCAAGTAAGTTATTATAATTCATTGAATGTTGTCTATCTGCACATTTGTATTATTGCTCATTGTAATAACGGAATGTGCTATTCCCTTTCTACGAATCAGCACACTTATGACTTTTCCAGATCCTCGCATACATGGCATACTTTCAGTCCTTCGCCAGCTTTCTCTTCCAGTCCTTTGTCCTGTCCCCACTTAACTTGTGCGCTGAGTCTCCCCCCGTCTCACTTTACCTATGTATCTTGCATCACACCTTTACTGTCCAGCTAGGTATTTTAAAATGTCTTGCTTTATAACAGATCGTCACACTGTTCATATTTTCACTGATTGTTGCTGGACTATCGGCCTACGCAATCTACGACTTCAGCATCATAATATCCGCTACGATGTTATCAATAAAGCTAAAAGGCGACACGTGCACGGATGGTTTTTGCAAGAGAATATTTGTTGCCATAGAAGGCTCACTTTTGGGCTTAGCCATACTGGTTTTTCTTTTGTCTTCGTGGGCCATAATATGCTGCCTTGCTTCATTCTGCTGCCATACAGAGGTTGAACCAGAGCCTGTGCCAGCACGACAACAAGTAAGTTGAAAAAGCAAAATATTTGCAGGTAGAATATAATTTGTCATCAAATTAATTAACTCTGTTGCAGTATAGAGGATAACACTTGACAGAAATTCAGGTGTTCAAAAAACTCGTGGTCCTATTTTTACTTCTCTAGTTAGTTAGGGACGGGACCGCCATTTACGTGGTCAACCGAGACACGTGAAGGTCTATAACCATTTGTAGATACAAAGACAGCACCTTCTCAGTTAGTTATTTTAAGACCCTGAGTGTTCGTCCGGCCTTACGCTTGAATCACGGCCTCTCGCACAACAGACCGACGCTCTTACCAACTGAGCTAAACGGGTGGCGGTCATTATCAAACTTTACGTAGCCATCCGAGCCTCGGAGAAGTTCTAGCCATTGCTTGTAATTTCTAGAGCAAAAGGCAACATCTACTGCTCAGATATATTTTAAGTCTCTGTTGGCCTGGCTGGGGCTTGAACCCACGAACGTTCGCACTATAGTGCGGTACCTAATCAACAGATCGAACCTACTGGGAGAAGGTTACCTGACCTGCAAATATTAAAGTCGCTGATTCAAAATGCCATTACATTTTACGCCAAACGAACAGAGGTCAACGTGAGTTGAGTTGATTCTTCATGTATGGGAACGAGAGGTTCTATTTTCGTCCCTCAAAACCCAACACGTACTAAATTTCAATTGGATAAAGTGAACAAAGATTCAGTTAATAAGAATATCGATAATATTGTTATTGTATTATATATAAAAGGTAATTTTTTCTGTTTTATAGATGATGGGTGGTCAGCAGGGGGTCATGATGCAGGGTACAGCAATGGTACCCATGATGAGAGCCGATACCATGCACTTT